ATATTAAAAACAAAAAGATCATAAGAGTGCCATACGTGTTTTAAAACAAAAACAAGACACTAAAAAAAAAAAGAAAGTGATCTCAAATGCCCCCTTAGTTTGTCATTATTTGCAGCTCTTTCATATCAGGTGTGCACACAAAATTTAGAATCTACTATTGGTCTTTCTATCCAATCTTAGTCCCGAGGATATGGTCAGCTCCTAAAGCATAAATATCGATGCTGGCTCTTCTAATATGTGCGTTCATCATCTTCATCCTATTTTTGAAGTTGTTGATGATCATATTTTAAAGAAGCCTTATGATTCAAATTTGAGACTCCTGAGTTTTGATGCTCCTATTAGCAAGACTGGCTAGAAATTAGACAAAAATCTCGCTACTCTCCAAAATTCACTTGGCTTCGAATATGACATTGCAAATGCGGGTTTATTCACTGGGCACAGATTGGGTTGGATTTTGTGATCCTCCTTGATCAATTGGGCATTCTACATCTATCTATTGTCTCTTTCAATGACAATGTAACAGGGATCTTTTGTTAACTTTTCTCTCTATGTTAGACCAAATTGAGCTTGCTTTTTAAATTCATGCTCAAGTATTCTCTCTTGATGTTTCATATTCTGATCGCTGATGCAAACCATTTATCATTTTCTTTTCAGGTGGCTGCACAGCTTTTGCAGAATACTGCTGATGGAAAGAACTGTTCTCCAGCAAAGGTATTGTTCCTTATATCTGGAATTCACGAATGTAATTACAGGTGGTGAACCATCTCGGCATCCATACATCGTTTCAAAGCTACCTTTTTCGTTTTTCCGCCAGGATAGCCGCTGAAATTCGTTTATCTCCCTCTAAATGTTGATGACCGCCCCTATCATTATCCCTTGCCATTCCAGAACCACGTCTTTAAGTCGTCTTTCTAAATACCTTTTAGGAGCCCTAGAATTATATCAACGACACTTACTAAGAATGAATGGAGAATGAGCACTTTTGTGATAAGGCTAATGATGATGTTGATTTTTTTTTTTCTTAATTGGAGGTTCTAACAAGGAATTTTGTCTTTAAAACATTGCCTTCCAGTCTAGTGAGAAGTTTAATTCAAAGGAGCAGAAGTATTTAATTCTTAGAATGCACTTCTTTGAACTTATTGTTTCTACTTGTTTCTTACCGCACAGTTACCCAGCATTTTGAAGATATTTCTTTTATCTCTATCTGATTTTTTTTTGCTTTCCATTGATTTTCCACCCTTCATGTCTTCGAGAAATTAATGAAGAATCGTTTTGGTTCCTATCATAAATTCAATCTGAATTGTGGAATTGATGAAATTATTTGCGTTTGTAGTAACTCCAGCTGCATGCCCAACATGAATTTCTGTCCTTGGATTTTTTGGTTCATCGTCTATTGAGTGAATTGTAGACGCTAATAAGTTTTAGTTTAAGACTAGCATTTCTTCCTGATTTTAAGTTCACAATTTTTCATCATTATTTTATTAATTGTTAAGTCTGTAGCCCCCTCTTTTGGCAATATCTTATCTAAATCACTTAAAAGTTGTGTAACTTGTTATGTAAACTGTAAAATATGATTACGAGAAAGTTAGTTTTCCTATGATCTATTAATTTTCTTGAAGTTGATTGATAGCTGTCCTTACGGTAACATGCAATGCTGCCGATTTTGCACTTAAAAAAGACTTTCTAAGGGCCTGTATAGGCATTTTCATGTCTGTTTATTTCATAACTGACCTTAAAGTCTATCTACCACTTTCCAGGCCCTCCCACCCCTACCGCCACTCCTCTCAACCACAAGGATATATATATGCAAAATATGTGCGAGAGCTTTAATGCGCTCACAAATTAATTTCCAAAATACACATTTTTCTCAAATATTTTGTGTTTTAGAGTGGGGCAAGGCGTTTACGTGATGCTATAATTCTTGGCTATCAACTACAAAGAGCCCCTGGCATAGATATCAGCATTCCAGATTGGTATTTACTTTCTGAAAATGAGGTTGGTCTTAATCACACATTACCAAATATTGAAATGAATGGAGACTTCTCTCTCACACACTTGTAAGTTTCTTGTTATCATGTAAATGCTCATAATTACATTCTCCTAATATGCACTCCATACTCATTTGAAGAAGTCCTTCTGTATATGCTGTCAGAGACATTCGGAATGTTGAAGTTCTTCATGGACAGCTTCATGGTCTATCTGATACTGTAGCTTTCTTGAAAAGCTTATCTGCACTAAATGATATTGATTTGGGGAAAAGTGCAGAGAAGCACCACTTGAGAGAGCAGGCTGCAGCTGCTGGAATCTTCAATTGGGAGGTTTAGAACCAGCTTTTCTATTAACTTTTTCTTAGATGTTGCAGCTAATTTCATTCTTCCTATAAATTGCTGAACTGTGATTTTCATTGTTTGTGGACTTGCATTATTCTGTGTCATTAATTGCTTCAACTTTTGCATATGACACCAAATTTGTCAATTGGTTGATTATCTCGGCCTCTTCGTTCTAAATTCCAAATTGTGTTTTCTATGAATGTGCTATTGATATCATGAATTGCTTAAGAATACTTACTTTTCTTCCCTCTCATCATAAGTATGGGGATACAACGTTTGTTAATGTCAAGATAAAATAAATATTTTACTTATCATATTTCTTTCATTTATTTTTATGAATCGTATTCCATTCGTGTTGTTCTCAGAGATAGTTTTTATTTATTTATTTACTTTTAAATTTGAAAGGAGGAGGGGCAAAATAAAATTAACATGGTCAGAATTTGTATGGAGGACACTTCATAATGGAGTTAGCACGCTACGAAGCACACACAAAAAAAAAAAAATCAAGTTTTTTGCCATGAGTGGAATGGACTAATACATTTATTGAAGCTGTCATTGGTCACAAGCATTTACAATCATAATTTTTTTGTGCATTAAGTGATATATGATTATTTAAACTGAAAAGCTTATGAGGAGTGAACCCATACGAGAGTACAGAGAAAATTCTCATCATATTTTTTTTTTTTTGGTTGGTACTGCAGGATGAAATTTATATAGCTAGGGCTCCTGGAAGATTGGATGTAATGGGCGGAATAGCAGATTATTCAGGAAGTCTGGTTTTGCAGGTTAGGTTTATTCTTGTAATTTGTAAGTGTGCCGTTGTTTTCTATTAGTTGCACTCACCTTGGATCTATAGAAGCATATAGCTATGAAATTTACATGTCTATGTAAGAATTCAATTTTTCAATTCTTATTGTAAAAGAAATGTCTATGTTTGCCATTAGACCATCTCTTTGGTTACATTTTTAGGCTGCTGATGACATTGTGGCCTTGGAATAGCTACCTTTTTTTCCTTAGGAGTGTGATAGTTGTGTATGGATTGATGAACAAAGAACTCAGTGGAAAGATTTTTTTGAAATTGATTATATTCGATTAAAAAATAAAATATTGTTGATGAGATAACTTATGGAAGATGTAAAGGATGTATTTAGTTTTTATTCTTTTCATGTTGACAATCATATTTTCTTCGATAATAAGTTTAGCAGAATAATCAGTATTTGAATTTTGGCCATTCTTTTAACTACTTTTCTTGCTAACATTTTTCTCCGTTTTCTAGATGCCAATTAGAGAGGCATGCCATGTCGCTCTTCAAAGGAATCACCCGACCAAACAGCGCCTATGGAAACATGCACTTGCACGACAGAAGGCAAAAGAAAGATTCACTCCATTACTGCAAATTGTATGTTATCAACTTTCTCACTAATTTCATGTATTTATTTGGTCTCAAACTAGAAGTGCAGTAATACTTTATATCAGGAAAAATTATGTTTGACAACTTATGAATTATTATTTTCTTACTTTGAGTGCCATTAAGTGCTTTAATTTACAATTTTTTCAAGTGTTAACATTGTGCTGGAATCAAACACAGCTTCCAGAAATTTCAAATGCTTCAGTCGTGCTATTTCATATAGGCAAGTTGTCTACTTTCCTTTGTAGTATTGGGACGAGATTTGACGCAACATGGCTAAATTAATGAATCTTATCTTTTATATATATCTTATCTATATATATATATATATATATATATACAGATAGGTTGTATGAGATGACCTAAAAGAAGACCCAACTCACACAATATAACACACAAAAACCTAAAGAAGCAAAGATTCATGAAGATAAAAAACTAAAAAGCCACCAACAGTCGCAAAGATGCGTGCTAGGGATATCCCACTTTAGTTCTTCCTCTACCTCTAGTTCTCGGAAGGGAGCCAGCTAACAAATTGGTAAGGTGCGTACCATTACCCGAAGTAACCAAAGTATCATTCATCAGATTTCTGAGCTCAAGTATGTCTCCATTCTTCTTCTTCCTCCTGGATGTGTAGACTTGTCATTCCTCATCTGAGTATTGACTCGTCTGATCCATGGATTGGTCCAAAGGTGGCCAAACAGGTGTAGGACGTTGCACATCATGATCCCCTGAGCCTGAGTAACATTAACATCTTTCTGAACCTGATGAGGCGATAGTGAAGCAGCAGAGAATGAGACGGTAGTGAAGCAGCAGAGGTATTTTCACTTGTAATATCAGTGATATGTTCTAGGGCAGACGGAGTCTGAAGTATCTCCCTCGCCTCCACGATAGGAGGTTTCGAAGACGGGTATTTGCAACAATGTGTGGAGACTGAATGATTGATATATTGCCTGCGGGAATAGTGACGTCTTCAGGTGTATCCTTTTGTTGATCAATAGTGTCATTAACTTGGAGCTGATCAGGAGTAATTTAAATCACTGCTTCTAGCGGAGCACTTTGTTTTTTGGTCTGAGGTGGGGATATAGATGATGACATTGAAAACTGGAGTGATCGAACATACGACAGTTCGAACAATACGAAAGAAAAAGACTCAATCTCTACCTTCTGTCAATATCCATGATGCTGTGTGTCCAACCAAATTTCCTCAGAAGCTGAAGAAGTAATGTCTCTTTCAACAAGTACTCTGGCTTCGGATGGACGAGAAAGATTAAAAGTAGGAATGTCCGTCTTGAGTAGCTTACCATAAGCTGAGGCAATAGAATACAATAATTTTTTAGAAAAATAATGAAATTTCAGACCATAAAGGCGAATCCAAACCGGAATGATTGGCGGTTCCGTCTGTAGGTCAAAATCCACAAACCTTTCAGGATCTTCATTGCTCTCTTATCAATCCAGATTATCATTCTAGTAAATAAGCATGTGTAATATTTTTCATTATTAATTTGAATAAGAATGTGTCACCCATATAATAGTCCAATTTTTCATTCCCCAACAAGGTGCATAAGTTCAAATTTCTTGCGAATAAACTCCATTTTGGGATGACCATATAAAAATTTACTAACCAAATTCAGACGATATGAGGAAGCAAGTTGAATATCTGCAGTTTCTGTAAAAAAGATGACAGACTTCTCATTTTTTCTACCAGGTTTTGTTGATGTCCTACTCCCACCCAAACGAAGGAGAGAAAGAACACGATTTAGGTGTACCTGAGGTGTGGGCACCCGTGAGGACAACTGCATGCGATCTGTCTGAAGTCATCCTCAAAATAAAGGTGTGACATTAAGAAGAAAACACGGGAAAAATAACGTCGACCGAAGCTGAAAAGGAGAACACACGGGAGCCGCACCGCAGAGCCGAGAACTCCCGAGCCGCTCGCGAGACGGAAAGGAGCCGCGAGACAGGAAGCTGCAAAATTTGCGAGACGGGAAGCCGTAGAACTCGCAAGACCGGAAGACAGCCGCAGAGGCACCCGCGAGACGGAAAACCGCATAACTCGTGAGAAAATGAGCCGCAGTGCCAAGAACTCCTGAGCCGGGAACGGGAAAGCTCGCAAGACGGGAAGGCCGCACAACAAAGCAAAACTCGCGAGACCCGAGGAGACTAAACAGAAATCAGGCGCAAAGACGCAGGAGAAGAAGCAGCGAAGCAACAGTTGCTAGGGTTCATCATCAGGTGAAACCCTAGCAGAGCCGAGCGGGAAGGAAGAAGACGCCATCCCAAGATAGAAATACATGTGTGTGTGTGTGTGTGTGTGTGTGTTAAGAAAGCCTAAGGGCTAATATATTAGAGAGAAAAGGATATAAATAGGTTGTATGAGTGGGCCCAAAAGTAGACACCTAACCCACACGGTACAACACACACAAAAAAACTCAAAAAAAGAGAGGGTACATATAAAATCAGCAAAACCCAAACCACCAGGGCACGGAAATAGTTAGGGACGATCCAATTTATTCCTGTCTCTGCCTTTGATTCCCGGAAGAGAGTTAGCTAACAAATTGGTGAGGTGCGTGTCATTACCCGAAGTAACCAAAATATCATCCATTAGATTCCTTAGCTCAAGTAGATCTCAATTTTTCTTCTTCCTCCTGGAAGTGTAAACCTGTCATTGCTCATCTGAAGATTGATCATTCGGATGAGGTGGTGAAGTTGTAGTAGAAGGATTGCCAACAGTTGTACCCACAGTAGTTTCTAGTATTTGTGAAGTATGAGTTGTCGCCTTTGTAGTTTCTAGTATATGTGAAGTATGAGTTGTCGCCTTTGCACCAGATACTTCATGAAGATGGGGAGCTGCAAGGTTCTCCTGATTATTAGTCCGAACACTATCATTTGTAGGTAAGGATCCTTCAGTATTGTTTTCAAGAGGGTTTGAAGGTGTAGGTTGCCTATATATATATGTAATTTTTTATTATCGGTCAATGAATGCAATACAACAACAATAATTTTGAAAGTTGCTCGATGAAAAAGTAAAGCCAAAAATACACCATTGAGGAAAGAATGTAGAGGACTTCATTTAAGGCCTTTTACTTGAGTTCCAGTAAATCTTGGATGGTGATGATGATTAAGAGGAATGTTGGACTTGAACTCTTGGGGGATGAGGTGAGGTGGCATTGAAGCTTCTAGCCACCTGGTGAGGTGTCATTATATCTAATTCTATGCCCGTATTTTTTTTCATTTTTTTTTGCAAAGAGCCATTCATTGTTTCTCTCTCTGTGCTGATATTTTTTTTTCCTTCAGGTATCATTTGGATCAGAATTAAGTAACCGGGCACCAACCTTTGACATGGACTTATCAGATTTTATGGATGGCCAGAAACCTATGTCATATGAGAAGGCGCAGAAGTATTTTGCGAAAGATCCGTCCCAAAAGTAGGTTATACTTACGTTTGAAGGAGATCTTTTTTTCTTTGCATTTGCCAATTGATGATATTGTTTTTTTCCTAGATGGGCTGCTTATGTGGCTGGGACGATCCTTGTACTAATGCATGAACTCGGCGTGCAGTTTGTAGATAGTATCAGCTTATTGGTAAAATCTCTCGCTCATGATGTTACTCACGATGATTTAAATTTGTTAAGCTTATATGTGTTATCAACATTTTTGCCAAGAACATTGAGAAAGAACTCGGTGTGCAGTTATTGAAGTTAATAATATCCAAACTTAATTTTGAAATTTTAATCTAAAACCAACGGGCGGGAAGTTTAAAAAGCCTACAGATGATTATTAGACTTCTTACTTCCTGCGGACCTTTAAATTGAAAATAAGTCCTCTTTAGGATTATTTTAATTTTTTGTTTTTATTGCTATGTTCATTTTAATAATATTTTTAGTGCATTGTTTAATATTTTTATATTTATATTTAAAACAAATCAATTTATTTTTTAAAAATACTTGAAATATTTAATGTTGTTAAAAATTACCAATATTGCTGGCCACTGCCCACTGCTCCTCGCTCAACTGTTGAATGCCATCCGCAAATGAACATCCGGGCATCATTCCCAAAATAAAATAGACTAAACGTGTTTTATTTTAAATCAAAACATAAATAAAAACAAACTAAAAAATTAAAAAAAAATAGAAAACCATAAATCTAAGGGCCCAAACGATCCTAAGCAAACATTTGTTAGGTGATCCATGCAACAATTTTCAAATATGTTTAGAAATATATACCGTATTTAATATTTCTAAAATATGAATTTCAGGTTTCTTCAGCTGTTCCAGAAGGCAAAGGTGTGTCTTCTTCTGCATCTGTTGAGGTTGCTACCATGTCTGCTATTGCTGCTGCACATGGTTAGTGTTTACTGATTTTAAATGAATTTCCCAAAAATTCAGCAAGTATATATTGTGTTGAGCATGCAGTCGAAGTTTTCTTTTTCTCTATTATATAATAACGGTCTAGTTCGAATATAGTATTACCATGGTAGTTTATTTGTATATTCTAAATGAACGCCTACTGCAAAACCCTTACATCAAATTTAGGTAGCATCAAAACTATTTTATTAAACAGATTGCAGTCTTTTAGTTCAAGGCCGTGAAAGCCTTTATCATTTCCTTCGATTAAAATGAATGGTTTGAGATTTGGAATAGACAAACACAATTTTATTGAAAGAATGTGGGGTATTTAAACCTAATTATAATAGAAATAATAAAGGAAAGAAATAAAATCATAATAAAATAACTTGAAAAGAAAATAAAATAGAATAAAGTAAAATAAGAAGTACATAATCAGGGAATAGGGGCAAATAATTAGTAATAACGACTTAGGGATAGTCGTTATAATCTAATATTCCCCCTCAAGTTAAAACATAAATGTCAATCATGTTCAACTTGGACTTGAAGTCATCGAACAACGGACGAGACAAATTCTTGTGAGGATGTCCGCTAGTTGACATATGGAAAGCAAACTCACCGGACTCAATCTTTTCTTTAATGAAGTGTCTGTCAATCTCCGCATGCTTGGTACGATCATGTTGGATAGGATTGCGAGCAATGCTGATTGCTATCTTATTATCACAGAAAAGTTGTAGCGGGATGGAGGTTGACATACGGAGTTTGCGGAGCATGATGCATAGCCAGAAAACTTCACAAATTTCTGAGGATATGGATCGAAATTCATTTTCAATAATGCTTCAGGCAACTACAGACTGCTTCTTGCTTTTTCACGTGACAATATTGCCCCATACAAATAAGCAATACTCGGAAATGGAGCGTCAATCATGGATTGATCTAACCCAATCAATATCTGTATAAACAACAATAGATTGAGAGGTGTGACGGGAGAAAAATAAACCCTAGCCTGGTGTACCTTCCAAGTAATCAAGAATCCAGTGGACAACTTGGATGTGGTGTTCATATGGGTCATGCATGAATTAACTCACTATTCCAACTGCGTGACATATGTCGGGGCGAGCATGAGCGAGGAAGATGAGTTGTTCCATAAAACGCTGGTAATGAGTCTTGTTAACAGACACAACATTGGGAATGTTAAATAATTTTTTAATAGGATCCATAGGAGGTTTGCACAGAAGAAGATTGTTCTCTGTCAAGAGATCAATCACATATTTGCGCTGAGACAGGCAAATTTTTTGAGTGGACCGAGCCACTTCTATGTCTAAGAAGTACCGGAGAGATCCCACATCCTTTATCTCGAAGAATGAAGTAAGAATGTCTTTTAAGGACTCCAATGCTAGGAGATTGTTGCATGTAAGAATAATATCGTCAACATAGACAATAAGGATAGTTATCTGACCACTGGAGGAATGCTAGAAGAAGAGAGTGTGAATCGATTGAGCCTGAGTAAAACCATGACCCACGACCATCTTTGTGAACTTGTCGAATGAAGCCCTTGAAGATTTATTTAGCCAATAGAGAGGCTTTCGTAGCCTGCACACTTGTCCTCTAGAGGCAGTAGAATCAAAATTCGGAGGAAGAGAAATGTACACCTCTTTTGTTAGCTCTCTATTCAAGAATGCATTCTTGACATCTAGTTGGAATAGCAATCAATACAGATTTACCACAAGTGATAACAGGACCCGAATAGTGTTTAACTTAGTCGTTGGAGTAAATGTTTTCTCATAGAAAATTCTGTAGGTATGTGAGTATCCTTTGGCGACCAATCTTGTCTTGTTGTGTGCAAAGGAACCTACTGTTTTTTTACCCCGAGGACGGTCTACGACGTCTCATGTTTGGTTCTGCTGAAGAGCATTTATCTCCTTCATTACTGTCGTTGTCCAGGCTAGATCAGCAAGAGCAATCTCAATAGTAGCAGGGATTTGATGGTTTGTCAGGACAATAGCAAATGCTCTCTAGGTCAGTGATAAATTGTGAAAAGAGACAATTTATTTTAGAATAGATGGAGGATGGTTAAATACATACTTTACTCAAAGAACTCATTTCCTCATTCAGAAGAGGATACATACTTTACTCAAAGAACTCATTTCCTCATTCGGAAGAGGGGTCATGCTGAGGATGTCGCCCGGAGTGGAGTTAAGGTCCTGTTAGGAGGTAGCGGGTTCCAAAGTAGGAGCATGGAATGGGTGCGTCGAGTGTAGACACAGATAGTGGGAGGAGGAAATTGTGGACTCAGCGGGACAAGGGAGTCCTTTGTGGCAGAAGCAATGGGGGGACCATCCATAGGAGTAGGATAAGAGACAATGTCGGGGAACTCAAGCGTCCCCTCCCTAGAGGCCGAGCTAGAAAAATAGGAAAGATTTTTAAAGAAGGAGACATCAACACTCACATAGATTTTGTTTGTGGTCAGATTAAGGCACTGATACCTCTTTTGAGTTGTGGAGTACCATAGGAAGATATATTTTATGGATTTGGAATAAGTTTGCTCTGAGTAGGGGTAGTGTTCCGAACAAAGGCAGTGCAACCAAAACTCTTGGGATCTAATATGGAGAAGTCTCGATTGATAGGGAAGTATGACATCAGGACGGCTAAGGGGGGGTTCGGAACTTGTGAGTGTTGGAGGGGACGCTATTTATGAGTTAGGTGGAAGTTAGAATGCTATCGTTTTAAAACTGTTTCGAGACATTGGATTGAAATATAATGGATCGAGCAACGTCGAAGAGACGACAATTTTTCTTATCGGCTATCCCATTTTGTGTGAGAAGTATCCGTGGAAGAACTATAATGGAGGATGTCCTTACTAAGAATTAACTCAAAATAGAGTTGAAAAACTCACGACTATTGTTGGTTCGAATGACTTGAATAGGAGTTTTGAATTAGGACAATATTTAAAAGTTATGGAAGGTCACAACGACTTCCAATTTGTCTTTTAAAATGTTACGTCATTCGAGTGTGATCATCAATTAAGGTCAAGAATCACCATTTATTGGTGTAGCCGGAGTTGCGAGAAAGTCCCCATATGTCACTGTGAATGAGGGAGAAAGGAGCGGAAAGTGTGTAAGTGTAATGTGGGTAATGGACCCTGCGTTGTTTGACTAACTGACATGTCTGACAATTGAAATTAGCGAGATTTTTATAAGAAAACATCAAAGGATACAAATTTTTAAATATTAAAAATTAGGATGACCTAAACAACAGTGCAACAACGTATTGGGACATTTAAATGACTCGAGATAGGCTATAACTTTTGAGTGTCTTGTCTTCACTTTCCATCTTCTCTTGAAGGTAGTAGAGTCCAGCTATCTTTTTAGCAGTTCTAATCATTCTCTTCGAACAACGATCCTTAAAAACACAACCATCTTATGAGAAATTTGCAACGCAATCAATATGACTTCTCGACTTGCCGACATATAATGAGTTAGATTGCAATCGGGGAACTTGCAAACTCCAAAGAGATCAGTCGTTAGTACAATCGACTCTTTACCAGCAATGGAGCTACATAATCCATAGGCAATTCTAACGGTATTTTTTCCAGAGCACGGTAGTAAGTCGAGAAAGTTTGTGAGCAGCCAATCATGTGATCCGTGAAACCTTGATCAATAATCCACAAACTAGAGGAGGGATAAACTGTGAGAGTTATAGGAAGGGTACCTTGTTGAACGTGGGAAGTAGACGAACCCGCAGCGACTTGATTTGCTCCAAGAAGCTTGATCAATTGCTTCATCTGGTGTTTTAAGGATTCGAAGGATTTCGAGATGTTCCAGGTAGGAGTCGTTTGAATTGAGTCGGGTTCGACCTTCGCCTGTGAGTCTCTTAGCAACAGAGGATTTGGCTGAATGTTTATATGTCGGCTTACTGTGAAGTTTCCAACACTTGTACCTAGTGTAATTGGGTTTGCGACAATAATCACAAGTGGAGCGACTGGTCCGAGGTGGCATGGACAAAGACTAAGCACTATTTGAGATCAAGGCGGATGATGCAGCTGAAGGAGTAGAAGTTTCGAGCATGAGATGTCTCCTGCTTCCCGACGATTCTTGGTGAAGCAACGCGAGCAGAATGAAGAGGATCCTGACCAAGAATACGGCCCCAAAATTCTTCATGGTCTTTGTTAAGACCATCAAGGAATTAGAACATACGATCATTTTCTATGATCTTCTTGAAAAGGGGTAAGTCGGCCGGAGAATCTCGAGTATAGTCGTAGTACAGATCGCATTTCATTCATAATGCTAAAAGGTCATTATAGTACTGGTTCATGGTCCTTGGCCCTGTTGTGCCTCCTGGATCTTCTTAGATACCTCATAGAGTTGGTTGGAATTTCATACTTCTCAGTATGTTTCACGGATAGCTGTCTAAAGAGCACTAACTGAAGGGAGGAACATGTGCGAACGACCAATTGACGTCTCCATGGAGTTGACCAGCCATGACATGACCATTGAGCTCTCTACTTCCCAAACTCCATATATCGGGTCGGTTTTTAAAGGCTCATGAATCATACCTGTGAGGTGCCCGAACTTCCCACTTTCTTTGATGAACAAAGACACCTCTTGGGATCATTGGAGGTTGTTATCGTCGTTCAACTTATGAGTTGTGATCTAGAAATTCATGTTGGCTTCAAGTCCTCAGGTCTGCACGAAGTGAGGGTTAGAGGCGATCATCCGGTGGAGTCAAGAACACATTCTGAGGGTATTTCATTGAAAGAATCAACTATAATTCTGATTGTTCCAAATGACATATTGTTGTGGTTCTGAGCCATCGATGAATTTTGGTAGAATCACGAATAACGGATACAACTGCAGGAATTTCAGGTAGCGGGACAACTTCAAGAATCCTTCATGCAGAACAATGACTGCAGGAGTAGAGGAGATGCAAGACAACTGCAAATATCTTTCATGCAGAACAACAACAGCAGGAGCAGAGGAGACCGGTGGCTGAGGCAGACCGACGACGGCACGCTGGGGCAGAGGAGCTCGACTGCTTGAATTTTTAGGTAGTTCGGCGGCTGTGCTGCACCATGGGATTTTGAGAATAGGTGGAATTTTGTGATTTGGTGGAACCGACAAGGGAGGCCGCTGGCGAGGAGAAGGAGGTGGCTGTTGGAACCAACAGAGGAGGCCAAGGGTTGTTGGATCTCGGGTTAGGCTCTGATACCATGGTGAGATTTGGAATAGACAAGAACTATTTTATTGATAGGAGGAGAGGTATTTAAACCGAATTACAATAGACATAATAAATAAATGAAATAAAATCAGAATAAAACAATTAAGAAGGAAAATAAAACAGAATAAAATAAAATAGGAAGTATATAATCAGGGAATAAGAACAAATAATAATTAATAACGGCTTATGGATAGCCATTATATTCTAATAGAATGTTATTTATCATCTTTATGGTTATTTATTAGTCATTTTTACGCATTGAAAGCTATGATCTCTTATTCATTTTTTCATACTTTAAAGCTTCACACCAAGTTGCCTCAAAAACTTGCAATTGTTTGTCTAAATTGGTCTACTTTGTAAAGAAAATAAAAAAAAAAGGTAGTCGAGGAACTGATCTATTTGCATTAGGATCTTCCTTTCAATATTCTCACTTGTTTCAACCGTCATGAAGAGCTGGATGTGAAATTACTTGATTGAAAATTCCATCCAAAATTGCATATTGATGTTGCAACTCACATGGTTATTTTACTAAATAAATTGTGACGTACTTTCATTCTATTACTGTATAGCGTGTAGCCACAACGTTTCTTTGGGTCTTTTATCCAGAAAAATAGGATTATAAAGAAGATGCTTCAGTAGAATTGGATAGCTATAATCACGAAGATCTACAATGTGCATTTTGGCGACTAAAGAGAAAAAAAATATTGAATAAACCAGCTATGTTATGTACAGAAACAAGTTATGTTAAATGGGCCAGAATTAAGATTTTTAAGATGAGTGAAATGTAAACTCATGAAGCATTAATTGTAAAATGATTATATTAAACAACTGAATGGTGAAGGATTGTGGCTTATAGGGCATTATAACTAGGAAGGGATGGTCCAAGCATAATTTTTTAGGGTCTGAATGATCCTGAAAAGCTGGTGTAGTGATGCGGGATGCGTATGCGAACGGGGTTGGGAATCCTGTAACTCAAAAATTTCAGTTTATTTGTTATTCGATGCATGTTCCAGAAAAACCTAGGGCCACGGGTCGGCCCCTTAGTTTCTAGTTTTCTTATATTAGCACTAGTATTAGGTTATTTTGCGTGGGAATGGTTATATGTTTGTTTTGGATTTATTTAGGGTTTGGTTACTTTGGTTTTATGTAGTAGAGATTATTCTCTCTAGCTTTTTTCTTTGCTAGAGTACTATATGCTTGATCTTTTTCAGGTGTTGTAGTTTTAACCTGATTGGATTTAGGCGGTGATCTCTCTTAGATGTATGTACGAACCTCCCATGTCGTCAAACCTCACTGCCAGCCCATGGCAGCTGCTGTCTGACTGCGTCCAGCTGTCAGTTGTGACAATTCTCTCACGACGGCCTCCATTTTCCTCTCTATCTCCTTCCTTAAACTCTCTTAAACAACCCCTATAACCTTCCTACATTGTCTACTAACCCTAGATGAGTGTTAGCTAGGAAGTATAATGCGGGCTAGGTTAAGAGATACAACCAAGATAAATTGCTCCAAATTTATACTCTGCAGAATTGGTGTAATTGATTCTTACCTTTAAGAAAATTCAGAACTGAACAAAAATAAGCAATTGCTGAAGTGAAGAAAAATTAATTGCAAAGAAGGATTTATAAAAGGATCCCAAGATACTTTTGATACACTTCTGCTAATTCTGATCACCTATGATGATTTTATTTACATGTATAGTTTTGTTATTCAAATTTTGAAATTTGTTTGTAATAATTGTTCTCTAGCAAAACTATGGATTCACGAATATTAATTTTATAATTCTTTATGCAAAACTAGATCATCGGTTTAAGTATTATTTTTGTTTTTGACACTTTTTATTTTTTGTAGATTTAAGCATAAATCCGAGAGATCTTGCACTGCTCTGTCAAAAGGTATTACTAAATATAATTGATGTTGTACTTTTGTGTTTTATTAGTATTTGAATGAAATTTCCTATCGGTTCAACTTAGAGGAAATTTTTTGTCAGGTTGAGAACCTCGTTGTTGGGGCACCTTGTGGAGTCATGGATCAAATGGCATCTGCTTGTGGTGAAGCCAACAAGCTTCTTGCGATGGTTTGTCAGGTTTGTTGTTTTAACTATGAGCAAAATACCTTCTACTTTTAAATTTGCTTTCAATTCTCAATGTTATTTTGTCCTTATAGCCTGCAGAGGTAAAGGAGCTAGTCTCAATCCCCACTCACATACGTTTTTGGGGCATTGATTCTGGAATACGGCACAGGTATTCATACTTCTATATATTGTAATGAAGTGATGCAGCTACACTTCTGTTGTCAAGTGGATAATTTTAAATATTCGTAAAGATGGCACATGCACAGTAGATGTAAATTAATTAAGATAATAATTTATTGGAGTGAAGATGATAATCTACGAGGCAAGGCATTTACCAAACTAGCAGAAATAACTCTAGTTTTCTATTGTTAACCTGTCATCGGATTACACAAATGTTATTGTGTTAATTGTGTTGTTATTGTTGGATCTTATCCATACCATCTTTATTGTATTGGACAGTGGCATGTCCGTCACTTAGGGTTTGGTTATCTATTTTTATCATCACTTTAATACATTTTTGCAGTGTTGGTGGTACAGACTATGGATCTGTAAGAATAGGTACTTTCATGGGGCGGAAGATGATAAAGTCTATAGCAGCTTCCTTGTTATCCTGTTCAGTGGAGAACACATCTGTACCTATAAACGTTGGTGATACTGAATTTGACGAGTATGAAGAGGAGAATATTGAGCTGCTTAGGAATGAAGCTTCTCTTAATTATTTATGCAAACTTCGCACACACAGGTATTTAATTGTTGGATTCATAGTTTTATTGGTGTTTGTTATTTAGAAAATTCTTGCTACCTTGTCTTTTGTTCATCTTGGATTATATATAATTCTAAATATTGGAAATCTACTTGAAGATAACTGTGCTTGCTCCCTGAAGTAGCATATGCCAATGATGTCATTGTTATTATTGTAGATATGAAGCTGCCTATGGAAAGAAGCTTCCCGAGTCATTACCTGGACAAATATTCTTAGAAAAGTATGTTGATCACGATGATACAGTTACTGTCATTGATCCTGGACGAAGCTATTCAATTAAAGCACCTACCAAACACCCAATTTATGAAAATTTCCGCGTTGAGGTTGGCTTTGATGAACTTTTTCTCATATTGTAGCTATTAAATCTCATGGAAAAACCTTTTGTGCTCAATCTTTTGTCCCAATTCACAAGTAGCATTTAGCTAAGCTATTTTGCCACCAATGGTTCATAGCCAACATGAGCACCAATCTATCAAAAATTAAAAACTTGCTTTATTTACATGTGGCCAACTTTTTGTCGATATGTTTTTTGTTTATCCACTCAGCTAAAACTAAAGAAATTTTATTCAACTTAGTTTAATTTTATGATGCAAAGAGAATAAATATTTCTACATAAGGGGGTCCCTTTTTTCCAGGAAATAGTTCAAATTCTAATCCTATAGCTACATGGCAAACAATTTACAAAAAAGAAAATTTTCTTTTCATTTGAATCTCACCAACATGAGCACCAATCTATGGCATCCTTCTTTCGTTTGTGTGACAGATTCATGGCAACCTTGCTTCCATTTGTCATGTCTTTTGTTTTTTATTCCTATTGTAATTGATAGCAGTCTCATGTTCAAAACCAAAATAAATTGTAGGTTTGTTCTTTCCTATTTTAGCGCACAATTTTTTAGGGTGATGTAATTACATTTGCTTGAAATGCATCCTTCCAAATGTTGCTATATGGAATTTTCATCTAGATTCTTCAACATTCTCTCTCAAGCTAGGCGGTAGAGATTTATCATTCCCAGCTTGTATAGAATGTTCAAGAAAGTTGAATTACATAGTCCTTCCGTAAAACTAGCAATTTAGTTACTTGTTAGGTGCAACTTAGTTCTTTTATGAAATACCTACCCACGTTTGTGTTTCGTTCAATTATGCAAGCTTGTTTGTAATATTGATTGTAGATTTGTTATCATAATATGATCTAATAGCTCATGCTCACTTATTCTTGAACGCTTCTAAAATAATTTTTAGACTTAGAAGTTCACATTTTTCTTTGGTAATGGCTATGAACTCATATTTTACGCTGGACCTTGAGACCAACAGTTTTTCTTGCTGCACTATTCTACAATATTTCCTCCAAATAAAACAATATTCTCGTTCGATTTTCCATCAACAAAAAACAAAAGATCATGCATATTTAACTAACACACACACACACATACATATCCTTCTAGTTTTACGGTGTCATTTTTTACTTGTGGAATAACTCTTTCTAGGGGTTGATTTCAAATATGTGAGAACAGATAAGCAAGTTTGAGATGAGATTCTTTCAACCTTTGCATGAATTGACTTATTTGGCTCACCATTGATGCCATATGAGGCGAGTATTGACCTTTGTCAACTTTGATCTCTTATTCATCAATAACCAGTTCCAATCTGCTGTAGTAGAGACTTATATGGATTACAATTTATCGTATTTAGTTCTCTCAATAAATTTAAAACCTTATGTTGAGAAATGATATGCCTCACGTATATTAAGGAAATTCTTTGCAGGGTGCAAAAAAACTCGTCGTTCGCGAACAACTTATGTTTTTTCATTGATGTTTTTAAATAATGAAAGTAACTTTGTTTTTAGAAATTTGAAAGAGGGTTGACTTAAATGAAGAAGATGATTCGCATCTTAACTTTGTTAAACTGATAGACATGAAAGAAATACATGAATGGATGCTACAATGAAGTTCCTCTTCAAGCATTTACAATCTATTTTTCTCTCTAGTTTACTCAATTATCTTTCTCGTAGCTTGGTCCTAAAAAATACAGTAGTTTGTTGAGAATATTACATGAAAATTTTGATCTTCAAGAAGCTATGGTTGGACAATAATTTTGCAGTGACGTTAGGAACATGAAGTACAAGCTAAAAGGTAGAGAAAAAATGATTGCAATTGAAAAAAACAAAAATCTCATTATATAACTTTGACCCTTTTGTAATTTTAGTTCAAACATTACAAGCAATAATGAACTCATTCTACAAAAATTATTCTACATTACTAAAGTTGTCCTAGGTTGTTTAGATATATACAAGGTTGTGCTTGATCCGATTTTGAACAGATACATGCTTGGCTCGAAATAGACTCGAATTGGTTATGTTTGGTTCGAATTCGAATCATGGCTCATTTTCGAGCCATCTCAGATAAAAATTTGAGTTCCAACCAGCTTGAATTGAAAACAAGTTGGCTCAAATCTTCAATTTTGGCTCAAAATTGGACTGAGCTGGCTTGAAACTAGATTGAGCTGGCTTAGGACATATAATTATGCCTTGTTTTGAATGATTGAAATAGTTGTACAATTATTAATTACAAAAAAAGATATAAAAATAAACAAATTTTCAATGTAAGCAATTTAAAGAGTGACTTTTATATTACAAATTACATTTACTCTAAATTGATATATTTACATGGTTGTACAAAATCAAACTTAATAGCTGCACAAATTTATCTTTGAGTTTGAATTTTTATCTTTTGTGATTTCACTTTTAGACATGGTTGCATCTACGGACCACAGGGACTTCAAGAAGCTGTGCAGAATCAAACTTAACAAAAAAGGTACAAAGAGGACAAAATCCATTAGAAAAAATAATTTGAATTAATTGGTGATATTTGAACAATTGGCACTCAGAAAAATTTCAGACTAGCGTATTGAGCTCCATTTGAAGTTGCCTGGTAAGTTGGTGTGGCAGGGAACGATGATTAGTAATTCATATATTACAACATACAACATAGTCTAGAGAAACAATCAGATAGAATAGCAACTAGTAAAATCTATTCATATGAATAATTGAGTCGTAAGGATAACCCATAATGATAATCTGTGCGAAGGCTTAAATTCTATAAGCATATCAATATATCATGGTTCACCCATAAGATGCCCCAAGATTCCAGATAGGTAGCTGAGATATTTGCTCCATCAAAAATGAAATTTAATACACGAAACAGCCAACTATTTTATCAAACAAAAATCGACATCTCCACAAAATAAAAGTACTAAGTGTGTGCCCATTCATTTTTAGGAACATGCGATCCAGAGAGCAAAAAAACCTCCAATGTGCCAAAATAATAAAAAAAAAAATAGAACCAGTATAGTATTTGTACTCACGGAAAAATAGACAGGTGAAGGAATAAAAAAAAGACAGTAAAGTGTTTGTTCTGAAATTTTATATAAGGCCAATAAATGCAACAAAAAACATAACCAATCCTTCGAAGGATCATTGAAGATTGAAATTATGTATTTATAGTCTATCCAAAATAATGTCAGGCTCGAAAAAAGATAATACAGAAACCACCCAGAGAGAGTAGGTTGTTATACTCACTCTTAAGACTCCTAGTAAACTCTTAATAAAAATGGGAATAAACTTGAAAAATATAACACTAAAATAAAAGAAACAATAGCATAAGTGAAGAAACATAATAAGCAAATACTTGATGATTCATGTGGCATAGAAGACAAACAAATTTGAAAATCAAACACTTAAAAACCTCAGGGGGGAAAACATGAAGCATCAATCAAAAGTCAAATAATATGGAATGATAATTAGTTCCAAGTCCCAACACAATACACCCACAGTCACCAACCACAAAATCTATTTGACGATCCACTTTGAACATAGTTGATTAACAATAGAGATACTTACATCACAGTTCATTCAAGTTCATGGAATCATAGAATGTCATACTGAAATAAAGAAAGTTATAGTTCCAAGCCCTTGGCTTGCAAATGTTTAAACTCCTCTCCTCTCTCTCTCTCGTCTTCTCTTAAAAGAACGAAGTCCTTTGTAATGCTAGCTTTAGAAAAATCTAGCGTTACAATGTTCTCCACTACAAAAATGTTTTCCTCAAAATTTATATGTTAATTATAATTATGATTATAGGATCAAATACAAACTATTTAAAATTTTCTCGTTCTTTATTATGATGACTCTTTCAATAAGAATCATCTCACTTAATTTAAATCATTTGCACTGATATCACTTTTGGCACGACCCGTCTCGGGGCTTGAAATTGTTTAAGACGAGAGCAGACAGTCGTATATTGATAAATCAAATATTTCATTTTACATAACTAACATTTAATCATCAAAAAACAAATAAAAGAACCACTAAAAAAAAGATTAAAATAGTTAAATTTACCTTATTTCTTGTTGCCCATGTCTTTTATAAATATTTTATTCTTTATTAGTTATCTTTAAATAAAAGTTTAAATTTGAAAACTTAATTTAAAATAACAGTGAGCTAAAAAGCCAATGTGTATTAATATGTTTAAATTATAGTAACACAATGAAAAGAAAATATTTTTTGCATGTTAATCAGACATATATTAAATTTGTATAAAACATTTAATAGATTACGTTTTCAATGAGATTTTTCATGATGGTTTAAAACATTCAATGTATGTTATTATATAAGTTACATATCTATATCTTTTTATATATAAATACAATTATCACAAGATCACTATCTAAAATATGTATCAATTAAGATATATCAATATCAATAATCATTTTCATTTACGTGTATGAGTACTTGTCGACGCTAAAAAGAAAGAAAAGTAAGAAGGTTAGGGGGTTGTCCGTAAGAAGCTCTCGGTCGCCGGAATTGAAATTTCGTCACCCGCTTCGAAATGACGTTTAATTTACATATATATGTATAATTTTAGAAAAATATGAAATCAAACTGACCTCATATTTTTTACAGTTTAAATGAAAGAACGCTTTACCTCAAATCCTGTATTTATCCCGAGGGATAAACATAAGACTTGAGGATGAGACTCGATCAAATAAACTAAGAAATATATGACATCCGTTTGGTCTGCGAAATCGTTTTATTTGCCGACAAGTTCCCCTATTTAATACAAGGAATTAAATAGGGTTTATTTTAGGCTGGGATCGAAAAAACTTCCTATAAGGGCAAACCCCTATAGTTAATTACATCTTAAATGACCGAAGTCACTTAAGAAAACTTTCGATAAAAATAAGGGAATACTATCTTCAAAGAAGTCAAAAGGATAAAACTTTTCAACGAAATCGGACGAAGAGGTGTGAAAGGGGAAATGCTCGAATCTGG